ATATCATATCATATCATATCATATCATATCATATCATATCATATCATATCATATCATATCATATCATATCATATCATATCATATCATATCATATCATATAATATCATATAATATAATATAATATAATATAATATGATATAATATAATATCTAGAATTCAGTTACAAAGTGTGATACAGACTCAACAACTTTTTACTTTTGAATCAATTTATTTCCTGTAGCATTATGTGTCAGATGGAGTTCCCTGTTTGACCACATTCATGTTTGTAATGTCAGAAATACCCTGTTATTTGCATTATTTACTTGGTAATTTGGTGAAGCAAAGAAAGAAGCATGTACTTTTTTATTTAGCTTTTTCATAGTCTGAAAAGTTTTCCCAAAAGGTTTTGTCCAACTTAATAAATATAAAAGGTTTAGGAATATAAACTAGAACATTTTTTAGTTTACAGTGAGGTTAAAACAACAGACAGTGAAGCAAACGACGCCTGTGCAGTGGTTTACTCAGGAACATGGTGGACAAAAGGTAAGTCTAAAGCTTTCTTCTTTTTTATAGTTGAACAGAATATGTTTTTTTCTGCCACTTAATTCTACTTCTAACTTTGCTTGCTACAGTTTGACTATGCTGGCGTGGATGTTGTCCAGCTGAGGTTTCTGCGGTTGAACAGCCGCACGTCTTTCCAGAACGTTTCTCTCAGTTTCACAGCAAATCATTCTACTGATGCTGGTCCAGCAGAACCAGACAGTCATGTTGTCCACTTACTGGGAGACTCTGGGATACAAATTGATCCACGCCTGGTTACAGTGTCCAGGAAAGGCAGTGAAGTAAGACAAAAAGACTATTTCTGTCTGTTTAGCAGCTCTCTATTTTCAGTCATTTGTTTTACAGATATTTCCAGGTTGTTAAAACTAAACAAACTAAAGAAAAAAAGAGTGTTTTCTATTGATATAGTGATGAGTCATTTATCTAAGATGTTAATGGTACAGTCCAACATGAGAACATGTCATACACTCATTTGGCCATGTGAGAAAAACATCCACACATCCATTATCTGAAGGGCTTATTTCTAGTGGGTTGCGGGGGGGCTGGAGCCTATCTCAGCTGTCATTGGGTGAAAGGCCAGGTACACTCTGGACAGGTCACCAGTCCATCACAGGGCCACACAGAGACACACAACCACACACAGTCACATTCACTCCTGGGGGCAACTTGGAGGCCTCGGTTAACTTGACATGCATGATTTTGGAGGGTGGGAGGATCCAAAGTACTCCGAGGGAACCCACACAGACCCAGGGAAAAGAGGCAAAGTGCACACAGAAAGTTTCCTGTCAGTTTTTTTTATCAAACAAATGCTGTCAGTCACAGATAAACAATGTGACTGTTTCATAGCACTCATACTTTTGGGTGTTGACCATTCCAAACCGTTAAAAGCATTTCAGTGTAATGATTTTAAAGCAATCAAATTAATTAACTATTCTGAGCTCCTGAAATTGAAATAATTTGACTATTTTTGAACAGGAGAAGATGCGTATTAGAGGAAATTATCCGATTGTCAATTTAGAAATGTTGTTGCTGTTGTTGTTTAGAAATGACTTATCTTGCTGAAAATATTTTAAATTAAGTCATGAATAAATAATAAATACAGCTGAGCATATAGCCTGTGGTCAGCTGTTGGTCTGATCTTATCCTAGGTGCACGTGGCTGTAAAGGTTCTTGGCAACACAGAAGAGCATCAAGGTGACATGGAGTTACTTCCTGTAAGAGAGCTGGGCATAGAGATGAGCAGGACATCTAAAGGTTTCTCTGAGATTGCAGTGGTTTTAGGACCCCTCTGCTTCTTGTGAGCATGAACTCGTGTGTGTATATTTGTGTGTTTGTTTACAAAAGCTGATAGCACAGTAGCCTAAAGTGTACAATCATAGTATAGTTTTGTTAAAGATAGTAAACATCTTTTTTATGTTAATGTATATTTATTGAATTATGAAGTTGTAGCATTTTACTGCTGAAAAAACATTCTAATTTTTTTAAATAAAATGCAATTCTATACATCATCATATGAATTCAAATCACTGTCCCTTGTAACTTTGTGTTCATGGCTTTAATTGGGGAGAAACAGACTAATATTGTACAAATCGAATGCTCAATTTGTTTTGATAACATGGACCTGATAAGTTTAAAGAGAATATTTTTGCACATTGTCCTCTGAGACTAATTTCAATTTGAATTGATTTGAGCATGTGTTTGCTGTGCTGGAAAATTGTATAATTTATACATTGTTTTTATTGCTTATTTTATTCTAGGGTCTTGTAATTAAAAGGTACATAAAGTAAGAAAAGCAAAGTCTCTGTTTCATTTTGTCAAGTACACTACTAGTTCTCAAAACTTTATTTTGTCTTATTTTGTTCAGTTACTGGGCATAACTGAAATTATTCCAAACTGATCTTCTCCAAGATGGACTAACACACTCAAACAATGCAATTATGTAGTTTCAAATAAAGATACTTGGATTTGTGTATTTTTTAAGTATGCATGCAAGTAAAAGGTTAAAAAATCTGCCAATTGTGACTGTGTTGACATGTGGTCACTTCAAGCTGCATTATCATCATACGTATCAAACTTGTCGTATAATAAAGACAACATCTGAGCTGTGCATTTAGCTATACTTACATACTGGGTGATCTCCCAAGAAAAGCTGCAGGATGTCTTAGCGCTCTCTTTAACTCTCCATCTTGTCACAGAGCTGGACTTTTCCATTCCTCTGGGACAAACACAGTATTCCACATACTCACCAAAAATTCAACCAACTGCATTTACTCTGAATGGAGGGTTGCTGCCTTCCAGTAGAACACCTGAATTACAGATTGTTGTACATCTACATGTATGTTTATATTTATGAAATCTAGCATCAACAACAAGGAACAAAAAAAAAAGAAAAAATACCAAGCGCAATTTAGTGAAAGTGGTAACAGATGGGAACAACAATGCACATTAATCCAACTGATCGTCAGTGAGTTTAAATCATTGTTAAGATCATGCATATTTTCTGCTGGATCAGGGTGGAAAAGCATGGTTCACATAAATGTTGTGCAGCGTCCCAGTGTGGGACAAGTAACTTTAAAAAGTTGGCAGTTATTTGGGAGGGAAGAGATTGATACATGTGGATTCTTGAATGATAAAAAGGCCATACCACAGGTTGTATCTAACCATAAGTCATAGCTAACCAATTTTTAAACGGGTATTTTGACCATCTAATGTCAGAATGTAGTGGTACAATAGCTGCTGGGGTGGGAGTTTAAATTACCATTAGATGAAGAAATACTCATCTTCAATTAGTTTTCATAATCAAATGATATTTATCAATTAAACGAACTTTTGAATTGTGGTCATTTACATCAACCTGACTGAGATGGTCTTCGAGCGGTTTGGGCGCCGATGACGTCAAAAGGAGGAGAGACTTCCGTCCAATCAGCGTCCGCCGTTCCGCTCATCATGTCCCCAGTGTTTGCTCAATGGCTTAGGTGAGCAGAGACTCCGGCTGTCGTGATTAAAGGACTCACGCATCCGTCTCTGCGCCGACAAACCTCGAAGAAAGCCTTTCAGAAGAGAGGACGCCGCGGTCAAGACGAGTAAGTGTTTTGGAATTCAACGGGAAACGTTTTTTATTCTTGTACCAACAGTGTCAGCCCCTCTTCTGTCAACCTGTTCGCGCCGCATCTCACGACGAACGTCAACAAGTTGGCTAATTCGAGAAGCTCTGCCGTTCAGGGCTATCCCGGAGACTCTTTAGACAGAAGCCTTCCTATACTGGTTAAGTTAATTTTATCTCGTTGGTGGTTAAGCCAGACAAGTTTCCTGGTTAGCCTGTGAATGGCTGCCTGTCTGAATGAGCTGACGGAGGCTAGCCGTCGCTTAGCCGTCGGTCTGCTCACGTGAGAGTGATTCTGTCAGCCGCGTTCGCTTTGTCTGTCATTTAAAATACGCGGCATTCCTTTCACTGACAATGGCCTACAGGTATTTTAACCGCCGTCCAGACACCGTCCACTTACTTCCACTGATAAGTGACCGCCTGTGTGTTTTCTGCAGGATGGGAAGTGAGGATGACGGTTTCCTCAGGTCCCGCGGTCGAGCCTTCCCAAAGATGCCCACCTTCCCGGACCTGGACAGCTCTCTGGACGGGGAGTCCAGTCCCGGCAGGGGTCAGCCAGACCACGCAGACAACCACATCACCAGCAACGGTGGGAGAAGCCTCCTGTCCTCCCAAGCAGGACAACGTGAGAGGACACAGACCTTTGCAGTGGTTTTAAAAAATCAAACAACAAAACAACAACCCTTAATGATGTTTTTAGTCAAATATTAGTCAAATCAGTCAGTGTGCTACCAGCTGAATGTGTGCCATGTGACCATGTGCTCATGCTTTTCCTTTTTTTCCTTATTCTGTGGTGCTGGTGCGATTGAAACTGTCAAACACTGGCTGTACCTTTTACGTTTTATTATTTCTTTTAGTGCAAACAGGAAGTGCTCAGATAAGGTTAATTAGCACAAAGTAAGCATACGTTGTATCTCCTCTTTTTTAATTCTTGGATGAGGTCAGTGCTTTTATTTTCAATGTTGACATTGGATCGATGGGTGGGGTGCTGCTGCTGGCCTCAGGAGCAGAACAAACATGTTCATCTGAGATGACTTGCTGTAAATGACCTGGCCGTAGCTCATTTAGGTGGCACCACAATACATAAATTACTTTTTTTTTCTCTCTTTCTGCTAGACTTACTTACTAAAATACAGGTGGTTGGCTTCTTTTTTGTTTTTTATTATTGCATATCCATTTGTGAAATGTTCTTGTTGCAATTTCAGGGAAAATTGAAGTGGAACATGTAATCGGCAAAAAGCTGCAACTAAAAAGAACGGCAGAGGTCAGTAAACTGGCAACATGGGGAGGATGGTATTTCCCTGCATGTGAAAATGGGTCACATAACTGGTATCCACAAATGGACTAATTCCCCTCTTTTCTGACAATATTTTATTGCTTTGATCTGTAATCGATTTCCATATGTGGGAACCTTTAACATAAGTTTAGTTATATGATGGATTTATCTTATTATTGTAGCATACAGATTAAGGTTTCTTGAGATATATTGTGAAAGCAGCTCAAATGAATTCTGAATGAATCTGTCCTCAGTAGCCCTGTGGCAGATCACAGCAAGTATAAGGCCTCTCCTGGAGATGTTTTTCTGGAGAAAATTCTGATTATCTGTATTTGAGCAAGTGGCGTGATTACCAAAAACAAGAACAGAGAGCCGGCTGAACTGGAGAAGAATCAGTATTTGGAAAACAAATTTATCATGGTTTCTGTCTGTGAAGACGAATAATCAGAAAATTTGCTCATGACTTTGTGTGAGATAAGAACAGTGACTTTTACTGTTCTTTACAAAAGATACTTTGATACTTGCTTATGGTTACGTGAGTATATTGCTGTGCAGTCACACAGTAACAGTGCAGTGTTTTAGTCTTTTAGTTTTCTCAACTGGGGACCATAGATTGACAACCACCCTCTCTGACTTGAACAATGGTGGAAAGAATCATTCCATCCAGTTTGTGTTTTCATGAAACCCTCATTTGTCTGTGAACCAACTGTGCTTGTGTCTTTTTCTTCTGCCCAGCACATGAAAAGTGAACTATTGCGTCAGTTTGACAGCCAGGTCAGTGACTTTGTGGACAGTCTAATTGAGGAATCGGCCACCCTTGAGCCAGCACCTGTACCTGCCGTCTTCTCACCTCCACTGTCGGAAAAGGAGAGGAGCAAACTGGGGTACAGGTCTCAGCCTCTCTGTCCATCCAAATGAAATAATGATTAGACACCAGATGTGTAAAATCTTTCTAAAGTTGCTTATCTGGTCTTACTTTTCAAATATAACTATTTTTCGTTGTTTCCTTTTTTCTGCAGGCACTTCCGGCCTCCCCATGGCCAGGGGAAGCAGTTTGTTAGTAGGAGGTCCCTCTTAGAGTGAGTTTCCCCAAGGACCTAATGCGTATTTCTTATAAAGGACCATGGGCCTGTAAGGCTTGAGTTCAGGTTGTGATATATGATTATTGTAGCGGTACAGGCATCACATTTGTGTTTTCTGTTTTCCTCAGCGAGCTGTTTGAGGTGAACCACATCAGGACTATCTACCACATGTTTATCGCGCTGCTCATTCTCTTCATTCTCAGCACACTTGTGGTAGACTTCATCGATGAAGGCAGGTAATATGAAAAATACTACCCCCCCCCTCCACAGCAGTATAGTTGTATAATCCTCCTTACATTTGTTCTATTGTTTTTGTGGAAAGGGTGAATGGATAATAACTCTTGAGCAGAAATATAACATTTTACAAATGTTTTTATTCTTCCTCTCTTCAGACTGGTGCTGGATTTTGACCTGCTGGTGTATGCATTTGGAAAGTTCCCTCTGGTGGTGTGCACATGGATCTGCATGTTCCTCTCTGTGTTGCTGATTCCCTACACCTTGTTCCATCTGTGGTCACAGAGCCAGTTGGGCCCCTATGGTCACAGCAGGCTGTACAGTCTGCTGTTTGGATCTGTGTTCCTCCTCTATCAAGGTCTGGGTTTGGGATTCCTCCCCACATATGTGGTGGTGACAAACAGTCTGCCCCCCGCATCCTGCTTCATCATCATCCTGGAACAGGTAGAGGAACTGGGTGGCTGATTTTAAATCTTGATTTCTGCCCTCACCATTGGAGCTTTTTGTAAAGGGTCGTTTAAAAATGTTTTACCTTTCTCAATTAAGTTTTTTGTCTTGTTTTTTTTTTTTTAAATACAGGTACGGCTGATGATGAAAGCTCACTCCTTTGTTAGAGAGAATGTGCCAAAAGTCCTGACTTGGAAAAAAGAAAAGAGCAGTATGTAACCTTCATACATCAGCATGACTTTTTACTGTGCATTCATCGAATGAACCGTCTGCCCTGTTTTGTGACAGGTCCTGCCCCAGTGGTGCCACAGGTTTCTCAGTATCTCTACTTCCTGTTTGCACCCACACTGGTATACAGAGACAGGTACCCCAGGTAAATGCTCTTTAGTTCTGTGTGTGGTGTTGGTTGTGGGTCACCGGGGCGCCTAAACTACGAGCACTGTTGTCCTACAAGGTCCTCTACTCAGTAGCACTGTTTTGTTTTTCTCACATAATTCAGGAACCCAGTGATCAGATGGAGTTATGTGGCCACAAAGTTCCTTCAGGTACTGTGTTTTCATTCTGGCCCAATACAAGCTTTGAGGTTAAAAATACCAGCTCAGTTTAGTAAGCGCTCCACTCCCACTCCGCAGGTTCTTGGCTGTCTGTTTTACGCCTATTACGTGTTTGTGCGGCTGTGCATCCCACAGTTCCGCAGCATCAGCCAGCAGCTCTTCGATCTTCGGGCCATGGTCCTCTGCGTCTTTAACTCCATACTGCCAGGTAGGATTTAGCTGCACCATACTGCAAAATTGCAGAAGATGTCAGACCTGGGCTTACTGGGAGATGGGTATTGGATGCCGGATGTCCAAAAGGAGTCTTTTCAGTAGTGTTTTTTTGGTCTTGTGACAGCATGCAGGATCATTTTAAGACACAGGAAGACCACAAAGTTTAAACGGATGCATCACATCAGTGGTGGACACAGCTTCCTATGAGACCATGCTCAGGAACATGAGCGGGAGCAGAGATATGACTGGGATGGCTTCCTTTTTTCTGTTTTTTGTGAGATTATGTTCTGATTTTTTTTCCGTGTCTATTGTCTTTTTGTTCTCTTTATTGCAGGAGTGCTAATTCTCTTCCTGGGTTTCTTTGCCTTTCTTCACTGTTGGCTCAACGCTTTTGCTGAGATGCTTCGCTTTGGAGACAGAATGTTTTACAAGGTACTGCCTTCCACCCCTACTGCTGGATCCCGACAATGTTCTTAATATTTAACTTCGTTTTGATCACCCCTGACAGGACTGGTGGAACTCAACCTCTTTTGCCAATTACTACCGCACTTGGAATGTAGTGGTCCATGACTGGCTTTATTATTATGTGTACCGGGACTTCCTGTGGGTGAGTGGCTTTTACAGCTGACGCAGAGGAGGTGGTTTGCTAATTAGAGCAGCATGTCGGTTTAAATGTCTTGTATAGAATACAGGCGTTAGATGAAGCCTTGTGCTGGTCATGTTGTGACGAGCTTGTTCTTACTGTTGTTTCTGTTTCAGGTGTCTGAGAAGCGTTTTCGGGCAGCAGCCATGTTCTTCGTGTTCACGCTGTCTGCGGTGGTCCATGAGTACATTCTCGCAGTGTGCTTTGGCTTCTTCTATCCTGTGCTCTTTTGTCTCTTCATGTGCTTTGGAAGTAAGGACAGAAAGATCACACACCTTTGTCCCTTTTTGTCAGAGAGTAGAAAGAACATTCACGTTTTTCCACAATTCAGCTAATCCGCTATGTCTGGATCGTGTTTCTACATCTGTTTGATTTCCCTGTCTGTCCACAGTGATGTTCAACTTCATTCTGCATGACCAAAGGAAAGGCCCCATCTGGAACATAATCATGTGGACAGCACTGTTTCTTGGTCAGGGAGTCATTATCTGCCTGTACTCCCAGGAGTGGTATGCCCAGCTCTACTGTCCCCTGAAGCAGGTAGCAGCGTTGCTCCTATTGGAGGTTTTTTCTTTCCTGTGATAGGTTGTAATTAACTGTCCAGCAGAGGTAGGCTATCGACACAGATCCACTTTTTAATGGTCATACTATTTTGTTGCAGTCTTCCTTTCTAGAGTTGCTGAAGCCTCGTTCCTGGAGCTGTCAAAGAGGCTTAACGGAACACTCTGAAACCCTGTGATTATAAAATGGAGCTATTGGAAGGAGGACCTTCAGTGATCAGTATAAGCTCAACCAGCCTTTCTGTTAATGTCACAACTTCTGATCTCATTTGTTTTATTGCACTGATGTCTTGGATGTATATGAATGTATGGGAAAGTATCTGCTGAAATGCCAAAAAACAGCTAAGTCACAGCAATGCCTTATCTGTCCAAAGTTAACCTGACATAAAAAAACTTTACTTAAAGCACCTGTAAACTCCTACTTATATGCACTACAGATGTTCCTGATGTGTTTCCCTTAATCCACTGTGAAAACACACCTTATACCAATATAAGAGGGTGGCAATAATGAGATGGCAGCTGAACACAAACATTACACAGTGCAAACATTATTTGTATGTGTGCTAATGGTTAATGTCTGACAGAGTTTGCAGTCACTACTCCACTTATTTCAGTGTGTTTGACGATGGACTGAAAAAAATCAGATTTATTCTAAATGACAATAAGATGATCATTCCAAAAAAAACAACAACCTCTTCGTGTTTTGTATAAAACTGAGAAACAGCTGTCTCTACCATTGCTGATATGACATTGTATAGTCAGAAAGTGAGTTTATATGATTGGAACTCTTCTGTACAAGCTACACTCTAATTGTTCTTTTGATTTTCAGCTGATAAGTCACAAGTTAGGATTGTGTCCAGCTGTAAATGTTAATTCTAAAGATAGTGAATCCACACTGACAGTAGAGTTGAACGGCTGTTCTGTGCTGAGTAATGACTCAGCTGGATGCACCATAAATGATTAATTCAATTGTTTGAACACGCAGTACAGCATTATGAAGAATGTTTCTTTAGAACCAAGAAATCGTGTCAGTGTCATTACCAGCATTAAGACTAATTTTATTTAAGGTGAAATAAGTGCCTGGTTAAAGTCATAAAAGTATTATTTTTAGAAATTTTGGTCAGGCTATTGGATGATGACATTTTCATATTATTTTGTGGTATAGAAGCAGTGTTTGTATTTTGGGAAAATGTAATGCTGGGGCAATATTGGAGTGCAGGGATGCTGTTTTTACATTTGAGAAAAATGTAATGCACAATACAAAGTACAAAAACAGCCTTTAAAGAACTGCAGGCTCTTAAAAAATAGATGGCCACAAGGTGGCACCTCAGTAAAGCTTTGGATTTGATTTTATTCCTCTGCTCATTTTGGCAAGCCATGTTTCTCTGGATGCTAATGCTGGTCAACACAGCCACCACCCTCATAAGAGAACAGATATTAGAATATTTCACCTTTAACACGTCCACACAAATCCTGCTTCACACCTTTGAGATTTGGTACGAACGTATTACATCTGTAATAAAGAGTAACCAAGTTAAAGAAAAGGCTGTTTAATGAGATTATATATTTATTTTCAGGATTAAGCTTTGCCTACATACTTTGATTTTTGGCTTGTACTAATGTCTTCTGCAAAATGAGATTTGTAATCCTTAGTATGTATGTTTTATGTAACAAGACAGTCAATTCTAGATACTTTCCTTTTGAGAATGTAATTTATTATCATGAATATTTAAGAAGTGTAAATAGACTCGATTGAAAATAATAAATATTTCCCCTTTTTCTTGTGCTACTTGATGGTTTCTTTTAAAGAGAGACGAATCTGTCTTTTATACAAATTCAATTTTATGTCTGAGTTACTGCTTTGACATAATATTATGAATAAACATTCTGCCTTTACTCAAGAATTTACGAAGAAATGATGACCTGATGATCTGGTGAGCCGTTTGAGGGGATGCATGAATCTTCCCCGTTACAATCAAATCAAAATCCGGGAAGTTTTATTTCTTATCTTGCGATCTGGAATCGGACAGATGTCACGGGCCCCCCCACCGACAGGCTGTTGGGCGCGGGTCGTGCTGGAGCCTGAGAGGTGGAGGGTCGGGCTGACGGGGGACCGGAGAGAACCCCCCGCCTTGTGCAACACATCCTCTCTCCTGCGGTAAAGATGGCGGCGTCAGAGGGGGCGCGCAGCGGCCGGACAACGGCGAAACGGTTTTGATTAGTTTTGGTGGAGCCGAGTCTTGCTCGTGGAGCGCCGTATAGTTTTTGCTCCGATGCCTTTCGGTCCAACTGAGCGGAGATAATCGTTGTCACACGCCGGAGTTGAGATTTTATTGTTAAGAGGCAAGCTGGGTGGGTTTTGCTTGTGGTCGCTAGCGTTAGCTAACAGGCTAGCCCAGCCCGCTAACACTGAGTAGTTTGCCTTAGCTCGGAGTAGAAGAGCGGGGAGGGGATTCGGGAAGATTATTCCGGCCAGGCCGCTCCAGCTTGGGGGAATGTGATCCAGAGGTGCGCAGGGGGTGCTCGCTTGCTTTGTCCCAGACGTCCTCACGCCAAACTACCGGGATGGGACAGCAGGTAGGCCGCGTCGGTGAGGTTACATCGACGGGACTCCAGCCACCACAGCCCCACGCGCCCCAACCGCACCAGGGGAAGGGGAACCGGGGGAGCGGCGCCGGGAGGAGACCCCGGGAACCGGGCTGTAGCGCCGGGGCGCCGCCGGGCAGGACGGCAGCAGTCAACGTGCCCGACCCAGCCATCAATATATTCACTCAGCACTCAGGTAAAGAGGGGGCTTGTTAATGAAGGTGCGGGTGTTGTATTTGTTTGCTGCTGTTAGCTAATTCCATGCTATCTGATAATGAGGCGCTAGCAGAAAGAGCTATCACATCCAGGGTTTCCCCTCATGCCTGTCCGTTTTGCTCTGTGTATTAGCCCGCTGTATGAAATGAGCTGATGGGATCTATTTAAAGGCTCAGCAGGGTTGGACAGGCGGCTGTGATTTAACGTCCTGAAAAAACACAATGCCCGAGAAAAGAGGAAGTGTACTCTGTGCTTTGCTCTGGGTTCAAACCTCCATCCTCTCCAGTTATGTGCTGAAAAAGTTCTCCATCATATCTTCACTAGCACATAATATATGTGTTGTTCCATCATATCTGGCTTGGAAACACTCATTCTGGCGTCAGGAAGTTGGCTAGCAGCTCTGCTCCATGAACTCACTGAAGAAGCCACCGACCGCATTATCTGCTGGTTACAGTATCTGGTGGTTTTCACATGCTCCCTCACAACCTCAGACCGATGCCAACACACTGAACACACACCCTAACACGGTGGCACATCTGTGCTTGAGTTAGAAACATCAAAGTTTTAGGGCCAAGACATGCGATCATCATCATTTATCTCTAATTTGGGGCTGTCCTTCTCACCTAGAAGACCAATGGAAGATATCCATCCATCCATCCATCCATCTATTGTTTATTCCACTCATAGTCAGATCCCGAGCCAAGTAAATGCTTGTCAGGAACTAAACAAGAGTTGTCAGTTACCTGACCTCAATCATTTGTTGTTCTGCATTTAAGTTAACTCATGCTTCATTGTCTTTTTCTATTAAGCCATCTTTAGTCCCAGCCGCCTCCTCCACCAGTCAGAGGTTGATGCAGGACTAAGGTGAATAGATATGTAGCTCCACTTCATGCCTTCTTCTCTCTGTACACTCCCATGTGAAAGCTTTAAAGTCAGAAAACCGCCGTAAGAGTCCGTTTTTCACTTGTGTGTTCTCTGGTGAATGATTGCTTCACATATTCTCCGTAGATGTGGAAGTCTACTGGCATAACTCGCCTGGTTTCCACCGGTTTCCCTGGAGCAGCTCTCTCCTGCCAGCGCAGTGAGCTAGGACACCCAGAAAGAGCGACCTTTTGGGAATGGAAAGCATTTTCAATTCCTGGCTCTCACGTCTCTAAATGTAACTGTCCTCACAGTCAGACAGACAAGCCTACTAAGTGCAGCTCTGCTTGCTGTTCCGTTTGCTCCGATGTCGGGGCAAGAGGAGCCTTTTTATAGCATCCAGGATGCAGACACACAGCCACTCTGCAGAGAGAAGGCTGCTCTTCAAAGCACACTATAATAGAACAAAGACTCTTTAAGTGGGAAAGCTTGGGACTGTGCTGTCTTTCACTGAATGCAAAGCAGACTGTTTCTAGCTGTCTGTTGAACTGATAGTGATGTAGCGGTATTTGGAATCTTTTATTGGGATACGTCCAATGCATGATTCACCAAAAAATTATTTTGGAGGCCATCAAGAATGAGATTGTTTCAAAGCAGTTGAGACACTTAAAAAGCAGTTATTTGCTTTGATTATGCCTCCTGTGTTTAATTGAAAGGTGGAACTCTGAGGTATGCAAGTCTATCTGTTGAAATTTGTTTCCTGCTGCTTCAAAGTCTGTACGTGGTAGGATATCTGCCAGACTATGGGCTAGCTAACCTGCACCCGGCGTGCCATCTTAGCTTGGATAACACGGCACGGGGCAGCGGTCACTACTGGCTGGGCAGGTGACTGGCCCAGTGGACTCTGCATTAAGGACTTTTTTGTCGTCTGTAAATCCTAACTTTTGGCAGCATGTTTTCCTCTCTCTGTGCAGGATGAACTTATAATTTTGTGACATTCGCATCAGTTCTCTGTAGCTAATGAAGCATTACTAGCCCCCCCCCGAGACATCTTTAAAATCGCTTAGTTAAACAATGAAGGGCACAGTGTCTGTGCTGATTCAAAGGAAGCTGGCCAGACGGTCACCTCTTGGAGTTCAGCTGCCGTATTGGTGAATCAGCGGCTGCAGCATATTGATGGCGGGGGGCCTTTAGAGCCTTTGGAGCCTTTAGATGTCAGCGATCTGCAGCGGGTTCATCTGATCCACGCTGCAGCACGGCCCGATCTGCCGCTATCGAAGAGCCCTAAATAGAAAGGCTTTCTATTATTCTTGTGATGCTGAGCTGCATTGGCTGGGCTACAGTACGGCTCACTGCTCCTACAGTAGGCGTGTAGCTTTTAGCTTTACTGTCCGGATGGTTTGGGTCTTACTGATGTAATGACAGTGCCTTTGCAAAGCTCCTTTCATTAAATCAACCAAGGGCAAACTATTTTTATTCTAAACGGATTATAGAATTTGGGTCATTGATCAGATTTGATTTTTTTTTTTTCAATTCATGTATTTTTCCGTGCCATAGACCCAGCTCTACCTGAAGTCCAACAGAGTTAAAGCTGCCCGGAGGAGAAGGGAGAATCTTGGATCCAGGATTTAAGGAACTAAGCTGATTTGCATCACGGGTGAAATTAGATTAGAGACAAATCCCCTTTTCTGTGGACTCTTATGTGCTAAAAGCCTAACAGCTAGGATAAATATCCACACCCACCGGCGTGATATTAGGATAAGGGAAATCCAGACGCCTGAATGGCCATGGTGAGGTTTTAATTGGCTTTTAAAGATGTTATCTTTGCCTAATGAAGATGTGGGGATAAGGGAAGCGTCGGCCCGCTGCTGTCCAACCACTTGGAGGAGCTCTGGCCACACCTCCTCTTGCTGGAAATTAGGGCAAACTGATTGTCTGAGAGCCGGCGTTTAATGTGATAAGATGGGCATCTTGTAAAAGCCGAGATTTTATATCGCTGACCATTTTAACACAGTCAAACTTTTGTTTTGTCTGGATGTTGAATGCAGATTTGCATTGTCTGGACTAGCGTTATTGAAAGATTTATCCGTCTCTATCCATCGGAGGCTTGTTGTGGAGTTAACTATCTACCAAGCCTGTCTGTGCCCAGATTGAGCTTCATCCCTCAGCCGTTTCAGTGGATCTTATCCTTATGTCCAGTTCTTTGGCTTCTGCTGGACCCTGGCTGTTAGGAGAGACCTCTATTCCAAGTCTGCCCTAAGAGGAGTAAACCACCCATTAATCTCTACGGCTTTATGACGGTTCTGCTGTAAACTGTTACCACTCAGCACAGGCATGAGGAGTTTTCCTGTTGATTTTTGTCAAATTGTGAAATTAAAATAACAGATTTAAAGTTTTTTACATCGTGAACTCAAAGCTTCTGTATCTCAGTCCCTGAGATACATCTGTCAGCCGGAAAACATCAAGTGTTCTGACCCCCCCGGAAACGTCTGGCCAGGCTTTTGTGGTGGCCTCCAGTGGAATCGCATCTCTTACTTTTAGTTTGGCAGAGGAGAAAAGCGATAGTGGGAGAAAGGCGGGCGGAGTCTGTGCCAGGCCCGTTAGGCGCTGGTCCTCCTCCAGGACGAGCTCTCTGCTGCTGGCACTATCTCTGTGCTTATCTTGTGGGTTGCAGACCGGGGACTTGGCTGGAAACACACTCTTGCACACACTTTGTTAAAGCGCTCACACGTGTGCAGGCACAGACACGCTCAGATACTTCTGCCATTTCTGTCTGTCCTCGCTTATTAAGCCGTAGAGTTGTGCACTCCTGCTTCCCACAGCTCATCTCTCCTCTGAACACAACTCCTGTGTCATGCTTCTGATCATTTTGAGGGGGGAGATATTCTAGTCTCATCCAATGAATGAATTCATCTTTGCTTGCATTATCTATCATTCTGTAAATAAAATAGTACTAGTTGGAAGAATGTGTAAATAAATGACTTTTGCCTCATAGCCCAGTACTGAGGTCAGCGGCTCTTTGTTGGAAGTGGAAAAAGCCAGTGGCATCGGCAGGTTAAGCCTTTTTTCCACTGGTTTCCTTCATCTGAGTCAGAAGAGAGCGGCAGAAGACTCGCACAGGGCTCAGCCCGACCACACCACACACAGATTAGGATCAGAC